GCTTCTGAGGCAATAAAGGGATTCGTCATGCATTAGGTGGCGAATTAGATGTTTTACCTCATAGTGTGCCTTCGCCTTTTCCATAACCAGGCTTTGATGAGCGCGGCATAAACCGACTCAATAGCTGACTTTATCCAAGCGAAAATCTCCAGAGATGGAATTTCGAGAACAATGCCAGATCCATGTGCTCCGCTCATCGCACCACTGCTTCAGTAATAAGAATAAGGAAATGAACAGCAGTGCATAATCCATCTTCAGCCACTAACTACATATCGTAGGCCAGCGCCGATTGCAGACAGAGCCACTACAGCATTTCCTTTTTGATCCGTTCTTTTGGATGGGCCAGGATACGTTTTTGGCTCTCCCATTTCTTCGCGAAACACATACGACACACAAACTGAACGACAGCTGCAGTTCCTACTGCCTTCAGTTGTGCCTTCCCTAGTCGGTGGCCGCATTCAGGACAAAACCGAAACAGCGACATCAGCATTACGCCTTGCACCATAAAAAACTTCTTCGGCACGGGTTCATCTGTCTCTTCAACATCTCCCAATACAGAGGTGTAGTCCAAATCTTCGCTGCTGCGCTTGTAAGTACGGTCGCTGGCTCTAGCCTCGCGCTCAGACACCTAAATCCTCATTTAGCGATGCAGAATATTTAATGAAGTGTTAACAACCTGAGCGCTCTCCAAAGACGCTGCATCATCGTACTCCTGTGCCATCTCAACTCCATCCGGAATATCCATCTGTTCGTTTACGATCGGTCCAGAACAGGGCAAGGACTCGCCGACAGTTCCATTGGGTGCAGCTTCCCTCCAACCATCCCTGAAATTCCAACTGTTGCGTGATGCAAAGAATAATTGCGATGAGTGTATGACTAGACCTTCTCATCAGCTTTCCACGACTTATTTCCAGCTGCAGATTCTTGGACTGCGCCATGAGCTACGCAGATCTAGATTCAATTGATGCTCACTGAAATTTTCTCGCATGGCAATGATTTTTCCAGCACCTGCTTTGTTTCTCGCCATATTCGTTGTTGAGTAGTAACGTTTCAGTGCGTCGTTCATGAACCTGCTAACATCACGAGGCGTAATGCTAGCAATACCCTGAACTTGTATTTCTTCCCATTTCCAATAAGAATCATGTCAATTATCATAAATACAAATCATACTCTTGCCATAGCGTTGAAGGCGTTGACTACGTGCTGTGGAATGTCGCCATTCGTTACACAAACCTTGGGTCCAGGTAACCACGGATCATCATACTGAGCGATACCCTTGCCTTAGCACTGCCATTTCCCCAGATATATATTTAGCCTGTACACGGACAGATATATACATATGTCTCAACATATTTAACACGTTGACGACCGTGTGGTATGATGTCATACCACACTCTTTCGGCCACGTGGGACCGTGTGACATGATGTCATGTCACAGTCTTTTTTAAGCTGGTTTTCAAACATTTTAGGTAACTTATTTACGTGATGTATGCGCCATACTTAGGCATTGTTACAAAAGGCGTGGTCCCTGGAAAGAAGCTTCGGTTGATGGGCTATCGAGTTTTTCTAAAAATGTTTGAATAATGATCAAATCACAGGAATCGCTAAAATGGCCAAAATCGCATAATCGGAGACCTACCACACAAGAAAGATAACAAATACACACTTCCTGAGAAAAAGGAGTTCTCGTGGGACCGTGTGACATGATGTCATGTCACACTCGCGCGGTCAAAATAATGCGCGCGGTCCCACACGCCAGACAGCGAAAAATAGCGCGGTCGTCAACGTGTTAACTTGTGTTTCGCTTACCGCTTGCACGACATGTTCATCACATAGATAAACTCTGCGTAACGTGGCTGGCTCCACAAGTTTGCGTGCGTACCCCACTTCGATGTACCCAGCTGATGCTAGAGACATCAACAACACTATGTTCTGTTCCTTCGCCATGGACGATCTTCTTGCATTGGCAGAAGACAAAAGAGTTTTACAAAATGCACAGTTCACCATCGTTCAATTCACTGAAACACATTATACAGTCTATATCCGAGAGTTGAGGTAGGCGTGTCACCGGAAGGGGCGTGCTGCCGCCGCACTTGATAGAAGTTGCGTGGATAAGCTGTTTCCAGCATGTTTTGTTGATATCCAACGATGTACCTCCCCTTCAAAAAGCGAGAAAGTGTCGGGTGCAGACCAAACACCACAACTGACGACGGCCTCCAAGTAAATCTGGTTAGAAGTTGTTCATAGTGATAGCTGATTTCTGGTAAATGATAGTTGTAATTAGTGACAATGATAGAATACAACTGCAACAGGCTAATCATTTCATTGGCAGAAAACTTAACATTTTGTGAAGGCCGTCGTCACTTGTGGTGCATGGTCTGCACCCGACACTTTCTCGCTTTTTGAAGGGGAAGGTATGTTGGAAAGCTTATCCACGCAACTTTTATCAAGTGCGGAGACAGCACGTCACTTCCGGTGACACGCCTATCTCAACTCTCGGATATGGACTTTAATCGTTACGACAACACTGACATGAAGTCATATCCCGGCTATGGTGTATCATACAATCGCAGATTAGGAAGTTAGCTATCGAAGAATTCAGCATGTGAATACAATGAAAGTAAATTGAAGACGTCGGTGCATGAACAAGTTTCTGCTTGTCCAATACCAAACTCTATCTTACAATTAGTCAATTTTCGGTTCCTGATTTGAGCTACCTTTAATCCCTTGTTGTATCGAGACCAGTTTTCAAAACAATAATCCCCCGAATCCCGAAGCTTTACATGCGAACAACAAAAAATGTAATTATTGGATCTTGGGAACCAGCAGAACGAATTAAAGCCAGCGGATCGACTGATGTAGGCAGGGATAGCCGAGTGGTTAAGAGGTTAGACTCATGTCTGCACCTCTAAAAACCGCGAGTTCGATCCCTGCCGAGGCTCGAAACCATGCCCTGCAAAAATTGCAAAAATGGTTCTAGTACCAGCGTCAGGCCC